CCCAACCTGGCCCCCTGCTGCTTGCGCTGCCCGCCAAGCCAGGGCCTGGGCACAGAGGAAGCAGCCATGGGACTCTGCTCCCAACCCCCAAGCTACATTCACGCTCCTTTCTCACTGAAACTGCCTGCGTTTTTATGGGTTTGTTTTATGTGAAAAGCTGGCGAATCTCTGGCGAGACACCTGCTTGTAAAAAGGGAAAGCAAAGGCCTCTGAGATGGTAGCACAGATTTGGAGAGTTAGGAGGGGCCACAGTGCTGGAGGACCAACTGAGGGGTCCACACACACACCCCCTCCCTGACTCGAGGAGGGAGGGAGGCGCCCCGAAGGGCCCCATCCCCCCCTGTGTCAGCGTAGAGATCTGTCCGAGGGGAAAAATGGAAAAATGGCCTCGTGGGCTTGAGGCAGGGATGGGGGGCCACGTGAGAGGAAAAGCGCACATAAGAAAGCACCTTAGTGTCGATATCAGTCTCTTCCCCCATAGACAAGGGGTACTTTTCCTCTGGTGCTTTCACACCGAACCACAGTGCCAGCCAGCCAGGCGAGCAGGGGTTATTGCCCGGCTTTATGGATGAGGAAATGGAGACTCAGAGAAGTGAAGTGACGTGGCCAGGCTCACACAGCTCTTAAACAGCAGAGGTGGGCTGGAACCTAAGCCTGTCTTCCTCCAAACCCCACAACGCTTCCCCCTCTCCCCGCCTCACATCCGAGTGGATTCTCCCAAAAAAGAACAACACGCTGATGATGAAACAAGAGTCCATATTTACTGAGACCCCACTGTGTGTCACACGCTGTTCTGAAAGCAGTTTGCGTGACGTCCTTCAGCCTCACAACTTTATGAAGTATTCTTGTCCTTACCTAATTGTCACCCCATTTGATAGAAGGGGACACTGAGGGACTAAGAGATTCATCCTGAGTCACCCAGCTAGTGAGTGGGATTCGAACCCAGGCAGTCCCACCTCTAGAACCTGCTGCTTTCGCTGCCGTCCTCCTGCGCTGTGCCTGCCCTCATGGGGTTTTCTGCACATCTGGGGCCCCTTCCAACTCTGGGATCCCCCGGATTCCTCACGAGCCCCTCCCTGTCACCCCCCAGGCTGCCTCTGAAGCGCTCCTGCTCACCCTTCGCTGAGGAGTTTGAGTCTCTGCCCTCCAAAAAAGCCAAGGAAGACGATCTTCAGAGAGGTACCCTCACTCCCAGCCCATCTGTTCTCTGAGCCCACCGTGTGGCCCCCAGCCCCCCACGGGGCCTTCCCCAAAGCCTCGAACGCCAATCCTGGCCTGGCCGCCGGGGCGGCACCCACCCAGCAGAGAGGGCGCAAGGAGCTCTTTGGAGCTGTATTTGGGCCACGACTTGAGGGTGGAGTGGGGATAAGGGTGACACGCAGGGTGCTTGGAGAGTTGACAGTGGAGCCGGAGGTCTTCTGCCTCCACTGGCCTCGTGGGCATGTCCCCTGTTGGGCATCCCACAGCAGCTGGGCCGAGGCAACAGGTCCATTATGTTGGGCAACCCCCCCCCCTTCTCTTCTGGGGGTGGGAACAGCATTGGGTTTCCATACCTGGCTTTCTGGCTCTGACAGCCTAAATCTGTAACTTCCTGGGAGAGGGGGATGTGCCCAAACCTCGGGGGGCTATAGCTGATCATCAGGAAGAAACCAGCCAGCAGCCAAGATCAAAAGCTCCTGGCAGCCTTCCGTGGAGCCTCGTACCGCACTTGGTGTTTAAAATGTCATGTCATTAATTCCCCAACACCCCTGTGAAATAGGGGGTGGGGCCACCTCCATTTCCCATTTGGATAAAGTGAGGCTCAGTGATGTAACAATATCTTCTTCAAGGTCACCTGGCTGGCAGGTGATAGAGCAGGGATTCCAACCTGCCCAGATTAGCACAGTCTGAGGGGGGCCTGCAGAGCCCGTGGGATTTCCCATCTGGGTACAGACCCTCGGCGAGGATTTGCCTTTCCTGCAGAATTCAATCGAATGCCCGAAACGATACTTTTGAAGATTCCCCCATCCCATGAGGTATTCCCCGGCTCACTGACCCTCCCCTCACCACTAAAGCCACCCCTTTGCCTCTCAGTTCTGCTGTATGTGCGGAGGGAGACCGAGGAGGTGTTTGACGCCCTCATGTTGAAGACGCCAGACCTGAAGGGGCTGAGGAATGCGGTAAGAGGCCCTGTGACCCCGCCCAGCCCTGGCCGGACCCCACTCTGAGTTCCTGTCCCCACTCTTCACCACACAGTTCTGATTTCCCACAGGAAGCCTCTGAGAAGGAATATGCTGGAACCCTGGCTTTCTGATGGTCCACCTGTCCCACCCCATTTCAGGGGGGCCTGCGGGCCTGGCTGGTGGGGGCGTGCCTCTGTGATGTTATCTCGAAGCCAGAACCCTGGCCCCACCCTGGGAGGCACACACACCATAAATCCTCCCTAATCTGATGGCTGCTGTCTGACAGGCCAGAGCTTTTTGTTGGCTTTGCAAACCTGTTTCTGTTTTAATGGGAATGAAACCCAAAAAGGCCAGGCCCCAGAGACTCTCTTTTTTCTTTTCCAGGGGGCCTCATTCCTCTCGCCTGTGGTTGGCTGGGGGGCACTGGCGGGGGCAGCCAAAGGTGGTGTCTGGGCAAGGAGACCTTCCCCAACCCCCCAGATTGCCAGAGCGGGCAAAAGAGCCTTGAACAAAACCCACAGCAGCTTTGTGCCTCAGCTTAAAACCGAGCAAACACAAGCCTCCACCAGGGCCGGCTGTGCTTAAAGGTCCAACCACAGAGCAAAGCCAGACAGGTCCAAGATGCCAGGCGGGAGGGCGGTGGGGGTGGGGGAATGAATCTAATAATAGCACCAGCTTCCTTTTACTGAAGACCCACTATGTGCCAGGCATCGTGCCAAGCAAGCTGCGTTTGCTAGCTCACCATATTCTCTTAACCCTGAAAAGTGGGTACTATCATTATCTCTTCATTTCCCACAAGGAAACGGCCTTCCAGTGGTCGGGCGACTTGCCGAAGTGACAGAGCTACCATCCAGCCCAAGCTCTCTCCACTCGGCTATCCCCTCCTGGTCACTTCACATACCATCCACCCTGCTTGGTCGGCACCAGCCCCAGAAGTTGGGCTCACAAAAGGCCACTAACGTCACTTGAATATTGACTCAGAATCTTTGGGCCGGACAGTACCTAAAAGGGTCCCCATCTGGTATTTGAGCTCTCTCCCCAGGCGGGTACCCGCTCTTGACTCGTGTCCTTCCAGGAATGGGGAGCTCACCGCCACACGGGGCAGCCTACGCCGTCTTTGTACAATTTATGGTTAGAAAATACCTAAGTCCGTTCGAGTGAATGGAGATCTTCCTCCTGGAAGCTTCTAGCCATATAGCCATTAAAACAAATAGCCTAAGAACTTTTCTGGACCGGAGGGATCTCCGGCAGGGCGGAGAATAACTGAGGAGCCAAACCTGACCCTTTTCCTAAAAGGCCCAGAGAGAACGTCAGTCTGAAGCCCTTGGTCTGAGGCTCGCCGCAGCCAGTAACGCCAGACTGCAGAGTAACCTCTGCCCGAGCCTCTCACCAGGGCACAGGCCCCGCGCTGGGCCCTTCGTGTAATCTTCTCGGTCCCTGCGCAGGACCCCGCTGTGCGTTTACCCCGTTATTGTGCCCGTTTTGCAAACGAGGAAGCCGAGGCTGGTGACCGGCTCAGAGTCTGCCCTCCGGTGGTGGAGCTGGGACCAGACCAGACCCATCTGGCCCGGAGGAAACTTCCGGTGGTCTGGGAGAAGCGGGCTGGCTCTCACGGCCACACTCACGGGCCTCGGAGCTGCAGGTTCTTCGTCTGCAGAAGGAGCACCCGTGATTTGGGTCGTGACGGTTGGGATGGGGCAGGAGGACCAGGGATCCGGCTGGGCCTTGGTTGAGCCCAGCATCCTCCCCCATCCAATGGGGTTAGTAATTCCTGCCTAGAAGGGGGCAATATTTCGATAATCCCCCTCGCGACAGGGTGGGAGCGTCCCCACCACTCCCCTTCTAAAAGGACAACAGTGAGCACTTATGGAGGCCTTCCACCGCCAGGAACCGACCCAGGTGTTTTACACGGGCCAGATTGGTCACGTGAGCACCCCTGTGAGGTAGGCGCTTCGACCGGCTTCCCCAGCTAGTTTGCCCAAAGTCGGCAGCTGGTGAGTGGAACCCGCTGGAACAGTGTGGTTCTGACTACAGGCGAAGGTTGGGGACCTGGTGGCTGCTCTTTGGGGTATTTTACAGCCACTAAACATGCAGTTTTTCAGGAGCTTGTTGTGATGCGGGAAGGCTTATAACATACAGTGTTAACTAAAAACAGTTCTATAAAGCTGTCTGTGTGGAACATAAAAGATCTGTACACATGGCCAAAAGATGGGAAAGGGCACAGCCAGATGTCAGTAGCGTTTATCTCTGAGAAACAGGATTAGGGACTATTGAAATTGTCCTCTCTAGATTTTTCCACAGTATGGATGTATGTTACATTCATAATCAGGAAACAAAAAGTCCTAGTATAAAAGGCTGGAATGGATCCAGTCTGGGCAGCAGACAACACATCCCCTACTGTTTTCTTCCAGATCTCTGAGAAGTATGGGTTCCCTGAAGAGAACATTTACAAAGTCTACAAGAAATGTAAGCGGGGGTAAGTGCTCATAACAGCTCTCCCTCCCCCTTCCCCTGTGCTGCCCCTTTCCCTCTATTTTATTTTTTTATTCTAATTTTTAATATTATTTTTGAGAGAGAGAATTCACATGAGCAGGGGAGGGGCAGACAGAAAGTGGGGAGAGAATCCCAAGCAGGCTCTGCACTATGAGCGCAGACCCTGACTCAAGGCTCAAACCCACGAACTGTGAAATCATGACCTGAGCCAAAACCAAGAGTCAGATGCTCAACCGACTGAGCCACCCAGGCGCCCCTTCCCCTTTCCCTCTAAAAGTGTTGGCTCTGGGAGCTCCCAGCAGGTGTGCTCTGCCTGGCCCATGCCAAGCAGCATTTGTACTTGGCTTCGTGGAAAGGATGAGGGGTGTGGGGTTGGGTGGAAAGCCCCCCGTCAGGCAAGGCCACCTGCAGAGATCGGACACTGAACACCACCAGGAAGGAAAGGAGTGGCAGACTGATGGAAGGGTCTTTGTAGAGACCACAGGTGGAGGGGCAGCGCAGGTTCAAAGATCAGAAGACCCAGGTCCAAGTTCCGAGGCCGCTGGATAGCCAAGTCATTTGATTATAACGATGATGATAGTGGCCGCCATTCACTTGCCTATGTGCCAGATACTGGGCTACGAGTAGCTCACTTAACTCTCACAGCCACACTATGAAGTAGACACCCATTACCCATGCTTCACAGATGGGGAAATTGAGGCTTGGAGGTGATAAGGAATATCCAGGAGCAGGAGCAGCAGAGTAACGGCGTGGAGGCAGAAGGGCCCAGCAATGTGGCCACAGGCCGAGTCAGGGGGCCCCAGGAGGGCAAAGCTGCTGATGAGTCCGGAAAGGGGGTAGTGATTAATGTGGTTTTGAGGGAGCCCCCCGGGGATGCTCCCCAGGCCTCCCGCTCAGGTCTGGATGAGGCAGCAGAGAACAAAGCTTTACCTTGCAGAGGGTCCAGCGGTGCGGGACCTTCCATATGTTCCTGGGGATTAGTGCTAAACACCACAGCACCCTTTGCTATCTGCCCGGGAGATCCCTTGGCAAAGGGAGACGGAGGGCCATGTGGTGACTGCCTTCCCAGGTTTGGGTCCCGTGGTCAGAGCCAGTGAGCTGGACCTTCACAGCCCTTGTGAACTGAGTCCCTGCACCTGCCCAGCGGGGGCCTCGGGTTAGCGAGGAATGGTCAGCGCCATTCCCTGCCCAGAGGACCCACTCCCAGCCCTCTGCCCACAGCGCAGACCCCATCCTCTTGCTCTAGATGGTGTAGCTCCAGCTGCACTTACTAGCGGCCCCCGGAAGGTGCTTGGGCATCGCCCCGTGGCTACTGACTACGGGCTTTCCTTTTTAGAAGGCTTTGCAAAGCCAGGCAGGTTTTGTTCCCAGGCTGAGGCCCCGTCCAGTCAGGCCCGGGGGTTGGCCTCTAGCCCTCCCTCCTCTTTGGTTCCCAGCAGCCTCCCCCAGAAGGGCAAGGGGTGGGGGGGTGTGCGGTCCTGCAGCCCCTGGAGAAGGATCCGTTGGGTTTTCGTTGTATGAGCGCCTAGGGTTTTTTGTGGGCTTTTTTCTTCCAAGTTTCGGTTTCAGATTGGGGCTCACATGTTCTCTGGGACGGAATCCACCTCATAGCAGAGGGCAGGCCCTGCTTTGCCCAGACAAGCCCAGCCCTACTTCCCCTTGGTGCCAGTGCCCACGCCCCCCAGCTGCAGCGGCACCTGGGCCACCAGCCTCCCTGACGGATGCCACTGCAGGCTGCGCTGAGGGGCTAGGAAACGTGTCGGTGTGATTTGGGGGTGGGGGTACACACGCAAGGATGCCCCAGCCCCCGGGGTAGATGATAGCGTCCACGTGTGGAGCACGTCCTATGTGCCAGGTGCTGGGCTAAATGAGTCCCAGGCATAGTTCGGTGTGATTATGTGTAATTCTACAGATGAGGAAACTGAGGTTCAGAGTAGTTAGTAACCAGCAGAAGGAATCCCGGCCTGTCTCCAGCCTCTGCATGCACCCATTTTTTACCTCGCCTCCTGCTTGTTCCTCTAACTGCTAAGTGATGTGCAAACAAAGACCGTGGCCAGGTCTTGTATTTGCCTAACCCCGTAGCCCAGGGCATCACTCAGCGGCCCTTCAGAAGCACCCTACACCCCCCCACACTCGCAATCATGAAAACTTCAGCTCTAGCATCCTCTGAGATGCTTAAATGAGAAGAGTCCACAAAAACGCTTTGGGGAGAGGAGATGCCGGGCCTGTTTTCCACCGCCCTCAGCGGCAGACTCACCTCCTCTGAGGAAGAGAGAAAATTCTAATCGATGGCCTAGTTTCTTTGCACAGAACCCTCCTGAGAGTCCCCCGGACAAAGGTAGATACAATCAGCTTTACAAGCACCACTGAGTGATTGAAAGATTAACAAATACATTGTTTTCCCGGCAGCTGGCCAAGCGTTTCAGGGGAACCAGGACAGAAGACAGCTAGTAGCTGGCAAGTGACAAGAGGCCCACATTCTGGGACGGTGGTTCCCAACAAGCCCTGCCTCTAGGGCCCGGTTGTCACTGACCTCTGAAGGGAAGGGGTCTGAGGGCTTGTCTGGGATCCCTTGTGTGTAGGTGTGCACTCGGGGCCTGCGGGGAGCCCGGCAGGGGAGTGGGAGGGAGGCAGCCTTCAAGTTCATGCACGTAAGACACACAGGGCCTGGCATCTAGAAGCCCCCAGTAAATACCACTATCCGAATCACACACCCGGCTGCCAGCAAAGCGCTCACCCCTCTGGCCCAGGCCCCGCCTCCTCCGGTCTGTTCCCAGCCTGCAGCCCCTGGACGAGGATCCCTCTGTGAAAGGAAGGAACGGCTGACAGAACCTAAGGAAGTGGGGCGCCGTAATGAGACACTGACAGTCAGCACCCCACCCTGGGCAGCCTGCGCCCAGACCTCCTTGCTGGAAGCAGCAGCGTCTGCAGAGACGGCCCGACACAGGCCATAGGCTTAGGCTCGCTGCTTCTGTAAGGTCTCCATCCTCCAGACCCGGGGACGATGGGGACAAGGCGACCGCCTCCCCGGAGCTTCCCCTGGAAAGCCAACAGCTACTTGTCGGAAGCAGGGAGCAGTAACGTGAGATCCTCAGCCCCCCGACTCCCGCCCCACTTGAAATAACCTTGCGGCCATCTAAACTCTTTCCCAGCCCTGGATTTTGCCTTCCTTACATATGCCACTTCCTAACTTACATTCATAGGGTTTTTGTTTTTCTTTCTAAAAAACTGGTACAGCAGAAAGAAACCGAAATCTGGATTCAAGTCCAGTTCTGCCATCTATTAACTGTGTGACCCCTGTGCTTCTTTGAGCCTCAGCTTCCCCATCTACCCACTGGAGTAATAGGGTTACAAAGAGTCATTTTCTCGGGCCCTACTAGATTCTGAATTCCTGGAGGGCAGGCTCTAGGATCTCTGCGTGGCCCTTGTTCTTGCTGGGCGCAGGGCCCTGCACATGGAACAACCTTGGCAAATGCTAGTGGGGTGGATGGATGAGTGGCTGCAGACACTCAACTCCATTACAAAGGGAAGCTGGTGTGGTCAGGTCAGGTCACATCTTACTGGGCTCTTCATCAGGGAGGCAGCAGCCAGAGGGGTGTCCTCTGGTTAACACCGTGGCCTTGACCCTCTGCGGAGGCCCACGGCGTGGAGGCTTGGTCCCGCTCAGGTTGGCCCAGGTCCCTGCCTGGAGGGTGTGGGGAGAGAGGACGGAGCCCCTCAAGTCTCTTGTACCATCTGTGAGATTGCAGCTTCGTGGGGGTGGAACTGAGAGGGCACTCGTGTGGCACCTGCCTCTGGCTCAGGCGGGCACATCTGAGTGACACAACGCAGCCTCCCATTGAACCCAAACCACACTGGTCCACCCACCACACCTCTTGTGCTTGAACTCTCGCTTTGTGCCCGAGTCCTTGGTCCGGCCTGGTGACCAAGGAACACCGCATCTTCCACACATCTCACGTCAGCCACTCAAAGTGTCCACACTCGTGTGTATTAGGAGAGGTGGTCTGGCGCAGCGGTGGCCGTGGTTGGAGGTGTGGCTCGGCCACTTGGGGATCGTGGCCTCTGCCGTAACGGGGGACAGTGAATACCCGTCTCTGTTGTTCTGACGGTCAGAGGGAAAGTCCAGGAGGTGCCCGAAATGTTGGCACCCAAGAGGTGGTAACCGTTACTGTCATCCTTGTCACCCAGCAGCCCTGAAACAAGGGGCCTGCCACATTCTAGACACATCTCCTCTTCTCTTCCAGAATCTTGGTCAACATGGACAACAACATCATCCAGCACTACAGCAACCACGTCGCCTTCCTGCTGGACATGGGGGAGCTCGATGGCAAGATTCAGATCATCCTGAAGGAGCTGTGAGGCCCAAGCATCCACACCCTCAGACCCCGTGGGGTGGCTCCAGGCAAGGAGCCCCCTGGGGAGTGGCCCATGCCGCACACAACCTCTCCTCATGCCCCAGTGCTGTTACTTGAATGCCCTCCCTGAGAAAAACACATCACAGACCCACAGATGTCAAGGTCAGGAAGGGACCCAGGAGGTATCCTGACCTGAACCCCATCTCATGCTTGAATCTACCCTGGACTTCCTGCCAGCCCCCGCCCAGCCAGAAAGAGTGTCGTCCTGCTTAACGTTCCCATAGCCTGTCTCCTTCTCGGAAGACCCTGCTTTCAGTCCATCTCCTGGTTGGCCGTTCAGATGGTGCCAGTGGACCCTCTTTCCCAAAGCTGACTCGACTCCTGTCCGGCCTGCATTCTTGGTTCTTCCATCAACTTCAGACTGAGGATCCCTTACCCTTTGGTCAATTAACTTGAAAACTCTTTTGATTTTCAATGCAAACAACTTTTAAATGTTACCATGGTGGAAACACTCTCTTTCTCCCGGATTTCCTTGATACAAGTTGTAAATAATAGAGCTGATTCATTGGAGTGGCTGCTGTATAAAATAACTTCCATGCCTGTTCACTGATGTACACATTTCTTATTTACAATTTTCATTTATGTTATATATATATATATATATAAGTATATATTGTATATATATGCAACATTTTATATTTTTCATGGATGCATTTTTATCATTTCAAAAAATGTGTATTTCACATTCTTGGACTATTTTTTTTAGCTGTTATTCAATTATGCATTTTGTATACTCACGTGGTATTTAGTAATAAAATTCTACCTATGTATTACTTCAAACGCTACACTTGTTCCTTCTGTGGAAGTCTTCCCGGAAGAGAGGGCGAAAGCGTATTGGGCCCGCCTCCTCCTCTGTCCTGAGGGTGCTTTACCTGGGCTCCAAGGCTGGTGGCGAGGGCTGGGCACGGGCGAAGCAGAGGTGCCCCCGGGGAAGGGAGTGGGATCCTGATGTCGAGATCTGTGTCTCACGCCGCCCCACAGGTTGAAGGTCAAGACCCTAGGACCACTGACTGGAGATGAAGAAGTCCCGGGAAGGACCTCACCCCGGGCGGAGCCCCAGGCTGGGAGTCACGTGACCGGAGTTCTCTGCCAGCTCCGCCCCCACGCTCTGGGCCTCACCATTCTCCCCGCAGCTGACTCAGCAGCTCACAAAAGCTGGTGCTCCCGTCTCTTCCCAGCTTCGTGGTCAGTGACATCATGCTGGGACGTTGCCCGGGGAGCATTTACACCACAGACATTGACAACGGCTACAAATCAAGGCCTTTATTCCCTCTAGGGAACAGACGACAAACCTGCCCTTCCTTCCTCCTTCGCCCGCTTCCTAGCGCACGACCACCTCTGGGCCTCAGTTTCTTTGGCTCTGAAATGAGGGGCGCAGGGGGTCTACGCCGCCGGTCATCTGTAACTATCATCTTTAGAGCCCCAGAGCTCACCGCTGGGTCTCAGAGGCCACCTCGAGGTGGGGGGGGGGGGGGGGGGGCTGACTTCGAGGACCTCAGACTTCAGACCCGCTTTTCCCCTTTTACACGTAAGGGTTTCCCATAAACTTCTGTCTGAACAAAACTTTTTAAAAGATTTGTAAACCGCAGATGCCTCCAACTCTCAGCTCTGACAGCCAGAGCCTGTGGTCCTAATTCCCACCGCCCTGCCTGGAGTCCGCACCAGGACTAGGGTCCCGCCAGTGAGCCAAAGAGCTCAGTAATCAAGAGAAATCAACACAATGTGTTGCTTTTTTTTTTTTTTAAATAAAGGCAAAAAAAAAAAAAAAAAAATCCATGATGAACAAGATATCAAAATTTTGAAGCCAGGATCAGCATCACTGATGTTTCCTTTGGCCTCAGCCACCAATATGGCCTGCACGGCACTGCTCAGGGGACCCTGTGGGCATCCGGAGATGCCGTGTCCACTCCCAGCCTCGCCGCTGCTCTGACACCTCCCGAGAAGTGAGAGCGGGATGACGTGTGAGGATGGAAGGACAGAGTGTGTGCGGAGTGCCGGCACATCCACGCGTGCCAGAGGTGCTCAGCATCTGTGTCCTTCCTTCAGAGCTTCCTGCCGGCTCCCCGCCCCCCTCCCAGAAGCAGGCCGGGAAGCAGGCAGGTGGTGCTTCTCGACCTTGGTTTGCACCCTGGAATCACCTGGGCAGCTTTTATCCCTCTCCCCACCGGCCAGACCCCACCCTGGAGCACTTAAATCAGAATTTCTGGGGGTGGGCCCAGACCTCAGAACTCGTTAAAGCACCACTCCACCCACCCCCGTGATTACAATGTGCAGTCAAGGTCCAGAACCACTGCTCTAGAGAGGCCATAATTATACAGGCCTTGAACTTGAAGCCTTTGTCATCCTGCAGTGTCTGGCCAAATTAGCACCCACAAGGAATCAGTACCCGTGCATAGCTTGCTGCAACGTTCGGGAAGGGAGCCAGGCAGCTCCATACCCACACGTTGGCCAGCAGCCACCGGGGCTCAGTTCTCCTCAGCAAAGCCACCACGCGGTGAGACCAGGGCCGTTGGTGCCTAGAAAGGCCGTGGGGACCTCAAAGAGAGCCCTGCAGGGCTTGAGGAAATTCAGCCCTGCCCTCAGAGAAGTCAGGGGGCAAGGGCAGCCCCTGAGCCTGACAGCTGCCATTCTAGGACTGTCTCTTGCTCCAAAGAGTAAAAGGGGGAAAAGGAGTGAAGGAAAGTCCTTTGCAAACAGGAGTCACTTTGGAAAGGTGGCTGTCAGCCGGTAGGGAGGGCATCCCCTGCCTGGTAGCTCTCCCCTAGATGGCAAGTTGCCAGTGATGGGGGGAAAGGGAATGAATGAATAAGTGACGGAATGAGAAGAAAGGAGGGAGGGAGGGCGCAGGGAGGGAGGAGGGAAAACAGGCAAACAGCGGACGGGCCAACAAATGGCCAGAGTTAAGCAATTAAGTGTATTTACGAGACCCTCGCTACCCTAAGTGTGGTCCACGGGCCAGCAACATCGGCATTGCCCGACAGCTTGTTAGAAATGTTTACACCTAGGGGCGCCTGGGTGGCGCAGTTGGTTGGGCGTCCGACTTCAGCCAGGTCACGATCTCGCGGTCCGTGAGTTCGAGCCCCGCGTCGGGCTCTGGGCTGATGGCTCAGAGCCTGGAGCCTGTTTCCGATTCTGTGTCTCCCTCTCTCTCTGCCCCTCCCCCGTTCATGCTCTGTCTCTCTCTGTCCCAAAAATAATAAATGTTTAAAAAAAAAAGAAATGTTTACACCTAAAACGAATACAGTGTGATAAGGTCAATTATATCTCAATTAAAAAAAAAGAAAATGAAATGCAGGCTCTCAGGCCCCACCCCAGACAGAATCTGCCCTTTAACGAGATATCCAAATGATACGCGTGCCCGCTAAAATTTGGAAAATACTTTATTCAGCTATCAGTGTATCCTAGCCTGAACTACACACATCATAATCACGCTGAGAACTTTTTTTTAAGATTTTAAGTAATCCCTACGCACAATGTGGGGCTCAAACATGCAACCCTGAGATCAAGAGTTGCACGCTCTACCGACTGAGCCGGTCAGGTGCCCTTACTAAGAACTTGAATAAAGATACCAATGCTCAGGGGGCGCCTGGGTGGCTCAGTCGGTTGAGCCTCTGACTTCGGCTCAGGTCACGATCTTGCAGTCGATGAATTCGAGCCCCGCGTCGGGCTCTGTGCCGACAGCCTAGAGCCTGAAGCCTGCTTCAGATTCTGTGTCTCCCTCTCTCTCTGCCCCTCCCCCGCTTGTTCGCACACACTCTCTCTCTCTCTCTCTCTCAAAAAGTATACATAAACATTAAAAAAGAAAAAAAAGATACCGATGCCCAGGCCCAGACCCTACCTCAGATCAGTTAAATCAGAGCTCTGAGGATTGGGGCCTGGGCAAGGCTATCTCTGTAACAGCTCCCAAGTGATCATAACAGCCAGGGTTTGAGAATCCCTGGGCTGGATGGAGCTGTGAGCAGCAAACGACATCTTTAGAGAGACTAGACATGGTCAGGACAGACCCTCTGAGCTCAGGGCCTCACCTCCAATCGTGTCTTTGACAGAACACAGATTCAGACTGGCTACGAGCAGCCCTGCCACTCTTTTTCCCAGAGTCCCCTCTTTCCTGACCCCACTTGGAGGGGTCTCCTCTGGAGAGACAGTATTCACCTGCCAGTGCTCGGCCCAGCTGCCGAGAGGGAGGAGAGGCCTGTCTCGTTTTCCCATACGTGTCCCCACGGAGACCCCCGGGCCCACAGAGACCAGACCCCAAGGCCGGCTGCTTCTAGCCCAACGGTCTGCTAAAAACCAAGGCGCGGGGATCTGGCCCCGTTGTCAAGAGTCTGGGGTCAAAGAAAGGTACAACTTTGAAAGGGTCTTCCAGAACTTCTAGCACCCAAGTGGACAACTGACGGCCTGCAGAAGTCTTCTTTAGCCCCAGCAAGCAATTGGAAGTTGCAGTGTGGTTGTCCGCGTCTCAAATCAGGAGATCTGGCATTTTAAATATTCCCCAGACTGTGTGGAAAGTGGGCCGATGTGGCACCAGTGATCTGGAGCCGTGTCGGACGCCCCTTCAGCCCAGCAGCCTCGGCTCCCACACCCCATCCCTGCCCCTCACTGTTTTGCCCCATGTGCCGCCTGCCCGGCCCCCGCGAGTGTCGACCTTGAGCCCCGGAATTCGAACCTGACTCTTAACCTTCGAGAAGGAGCTCCGGACCTGACAGGATGGGAGCACGGGGCGTCCCGCCTCGAGGTCCAGGTGGCATCGCTCTTAACGAGGTGCCCCAGGCCATCTCCCGCCCGTCCCGACGCAGCGGGCGCTTGAGGGAATCTGAGGTTCACAAAAAGGCCAGCTTTGGCGAGACGCAAGAAGTCGGTTTAATTGGATATGGTATTCCATCCTTCTCCCTCCCTCTTCCTCACCCACCCCTCCCCACGGGGGGGCCAGTCAGCGGCCATTCTGACGGGAAGGCCACTCACCCTCTGGTCACAGAGCAAAGTCAGGGGAGGGGCCCCGGGAGTGAGGGGCCTGGACTCCGTGGGGAGCGGGGAGGGGGCTGCATAAGTGCCTTCCGCTTGCAGAAGTGAACGACAACATCAATATTTGGGAAAGGAGGGGACGTGTGGTTTCTTCTATTCCCCCTTGGTTCTTTGGGAATCTCTCCCTCTTGCCGGGGGAAACGGACGTGGCAGGTCAGAAAAGATTCATCAAAGGCTGTGTCAAACTTGAGCAGGAGGCCTGGGAGGAGACGGAGGCCAGGCCCGGGGATAGGAAAGTCCCAGTAAAAGAAAGAACCCGCAGGCACCAAGCGGTGCCTCCCTGCCCCCTTGCCCCCTCAGAATGCTGTTTCCAGGGCTCTGGCTCCAGCAGCGACCTGCCCATGTGTGCTGTTGAATGCCGGGCCACTCCACGGATGTGGTGGCCTTCTCCTGAAGGTGGGTACCGAGCACAAGTGACCACGGTGACTGGGGCCATGCTCTTCCTGAAGGTGAGGTGCGTAGGCTTAGCTGGGGGCCCGGGCCCAGGCAACCCCCTTGAGTCTGTCACAAGCACCTCTGGGCCTTTCCGGCTCCCGGAAGTCAAGGGTGAAGGATGGGAGTTGTGCCCGGGCCGCAGTCCTGTGCGGTCCACCCAGCAGGTACAGTCTGGACCTCGAGCCCTGGCCCAGCGTCAGGCTTCTAGATGGGGAATCTGTCAATGGCAGCCTTCTCCCTCGAGCCTGAGCTTCAGGAACCTCTTACATCTGCGGAGAGGACTGCACATCCCAGCACGGGCAGGTGCATGGCAGGTAACCAAGGAGGGCTCTGTCCACCCCTCATTTCTGCTCAGGGAACCACTGGAGTCAGTGGAGGCGGGTGTCCAATCTCCAGGAGGCAGTTCAAGACAAGGACAAACGCAGCCTCCCAGCTCCACGCCAGCCACGGGGGACGGGGGGGCAGGGGCAGATCTGCCCTCCAAGTCGTCGTCTGTCACACACGAGATGGGCATTCTCTGAATGAACGTCCTGGGGGGCCTGGGTGAGGCAGCTGGTGGCCAGCGTTCTCCCCGAGCTTGTGTGGGGTCCCTACAACACTGGGATCCATTTGTTGTCCTCGTTGTAGAGAAAGGACTGTTTTCCAGGGAATTCTGGCTTGTACGTGGCTGTGAGGGGAGAGAGAGAAAAAGACGGTATTAAGAGGGAAGAGGCCGGTTGCCCAAGCCCCTGGCATTCTACATCAGAGCTGGCGATGTCGGGGCACCCCTGCCCTGGTCCCTGCAACTTACAAGTGGGGAGGCAGAGAGGGGAAGGGATTGGCCCAGTCGAGGCAGGACTTGAACCCCGGCTTCCAGCCTTTAACTCCCTAACAGGAGAACATTTACAAAAGAGTTTTCAATCAGATTTGATAAAGAAAAAAAAAAAAAAAAGGGAGTAAAACAATACTCTTAAAGAAGCAAGGTGTCAGCTTGATAGGGTTTTGTTTTTCTTTAGTCCAGAAATTTCCAGAAGGGCGCCTGTCTGGCTCAGTTGGTAGAGCATGTGACTCTTGGTCTCAGGGTTGTGAGTTCAAGCCCCACACTGGGTGTGGAGCCTAGTTTTAAAAAGGAAAGAAAAAGAAATTTCCAGAAAAGTGAAAACCTTGACAACTGCAAGCACTTTCCGTAGGAGACCAGCTGCCAGGACCACACAGGGGTGACTAGAAACTCTCATACTGATGCCGATTCGGCCGACGAGGATCCAGGCAGATCCACACCCACGGGAGGCCAAGCAGGCATGTGGCTCACTCCCAGGCCAGTCCTCTGGGAAACCCACCTAGATGCAGGTGGTCACAGCAGCAGGAAGTGGCCTGCACCTGTGTGCCAGGTGCCCCACACCATGTGCAGCAGACACTCAGAAAAAGCTTCTAGATGCCTGGACCAAACAGGGTCAGACAAGGCTCCTCACCGGTCCCCAGGCCTTCTGGAGCCTTCTGCTTGACTGGAGCGTGAGTACATTTGCCCCACCCTGCTGGGTCCTGCCTGGACTGACCAGGTGACCCCAAGGTCAAACCACTGCAGTCTTCTTGACTTGGTTATCATTCCATTTCCAAGGCTGGAGCCATAAGGATGACTCTCCCTGTCCCGTCCACCTTATGATTTACTCACCAGTATGTTTGGAGGGGAAGGTGTCTCCCCTACCAGACTGACACCTCTGGGGGTAACACCAGGCTAAGTCACCGTTGTCCCCCAGGGGAGGAGCGTCATCAGCGCTCCCTGGACGACTGATTTGGACAGACCTAGCAGCCACCCCGGCTCTGCCTTCCTCCTCCCCCACCGCCTGCCCACCAGCACACGCTGTCCAGTCCCCAGCGCCACCAGCTCCGGCCAATGTCAGGGAGGGGCAAAGAGCTAAGGGGCTGTGAGAGAGCTACAAAGAGGTCAGGGAGTCTAGAGACCACGCGCTGGAACAGGTCCCTCAGGCTATTAGCTCTCACGAAGGTCCCAGAGGCGACAGGGTCCCACGGCTTCAGCCATCTGCAAAGAGGGCTCGGAACCCGACAGCTCACGGGAGCTGCTCCAGTGAACAGTCCCCGGCTTGTTTCACGACAACAGGGCACAGGGGGGAAACGGCGTGGCGCTCTGCCCTGCCGCTCTCTCACTGTGGCTCAGTGCACAACTTGCTCTCCGGGTCTTCCCCAGCTATAGGGTGACTCTGCCAGATCAGGCCAGTGATTTAAGTACTTTCAAGAACGGTGTGGGGCGCCTGGGTGGCGCAGTCGGTTAAGCGTCCGACTTCAGCCAGGTCACGATCTCGCGGTCCGTGAGTTTGAGCCCCGCGTCGGGCTCTGGGCTGATGGCTCGGAGCCTGGAGCCTGTTTCCGATTCTGTGTCTCCCTCTGTCTCTGCTCCTCCCCCGTTCATGCTCTGTCTCTGTCTGTCCCATAAATAAATAAAAACGTTGAAAAAAAAAAAATTAAAAAAAAAAAAAAAAAAAAGAACGGTGAAATTGTTGACCCATCTGACAAAGTGCTATGGCCCCTTTCTCCAAAATAATAATAATAATGACAATAATAATAATGTCTTCATGCTCCAAATCTGCAGGCAGTCTCAGGGTCACAGACCCCTCTGGGGGTCCGGATCCCATCTCCGAGCCTCTCGGACATTCACGGTCATTGGTTGTGAACCCCTGGACGGGACTAACTCCAAGAGTCCTTTCACCTCAAAGAAAATCCTTTCATACTCCAAAAGCGCAGGCCTAAAAGTCTTCCGGATCGACTCTAACCTCTGTAACCTTCTTGGCAAACATCCCATAAATCAGTGACATTTGATGGCCCAGGAATGACAAACACTTCCAGATTTGGTTTTTACAATCATTTAAAACAATCCTCTGACCTGGGCCGGGCAGGCCGGGCTGGGACGGGGCTGCTGTCCACCGGCTGGTGTTGGATGCAAACGATGCGCTGGAGGTGAAGTGTCTGGGGGGCCCCTCGTAGTCCACGATCTCGTACTGACCGGGGCCTGGAAGAGGCGGCTTCGGGGGCAGGGGCGAAGGCTGGGCAGAGAAGTTCAGGAGGGGGTTTCTCCTTCAAAAAGAGACAAAATGTGAAGACGGTGCTCAGGCAGTCTGCTGGGGAAACGGTTGTTTTTAGACGTGGCCAAGACCTGCCCAGCACCGAGTCGTTGGGGCGGCTGGGCAGGGCCGTGGCTCCACTGCCGGGGAGCCGGGGGCCCCCGGACCTCAGTGTTCTCTTCTGCGCAGTGGCGGTTCTCACAGTACTTTCCTCATAGGCTTACCGCCAGGGTTCAATGGGATGAGGCATCTGTAACACAGAAGTCGGGGCAGCACCCAGCACAGTGAGAGCGCCGCACGAGGTGTTGCAGATGATGTCGTTGAACTAACCAGAGAGGGCAGACACGTGCCAATTCTGATCACCCGGTGGCGCCCGGCTGGGGCTCCGTGTAGAGAACTCCGGCCTCGCGTGGGCTCTAAGGAAAGAGCATGGGTGATCCACTTGTGATATCTGCCATGGCCCAGGAAGTGGGACGAGGCATCCTGAGTTCCAAGGATTTGCCATCCCAAGACTAGTAGATCTCAAGAGACCATTCCAGCACGGGCATGCCGAATCCTACTAAGTATCTTCCTGGCAAGGCAGGACGTGGGAGTGGAAATCAAGAGACCCGTGCACAACACTTACCTTTTGCTGACACCTTTGGAAGCAAGGGCATTTTAAAAAAAAAAAAAGGTTTTTTTTTAATGTTTGTTCTTGAGAGAGAGACACACACACAGAGCGTGAGTGGGGGAGGGTCAGAGAGAGAGAAAGAGGGAGACTCAGAAATCAAAGCAGGCTCCGGGCTCTGAGCTGTCAGCACAGAGCCCGACGCGGGGCTCGAACTCACAAGTTAAGTAGATCACTTCCACTCGGGTCAAGTCGATCGCTGACCACTGAGCCACCCAGGCGCCCTGGAAGCAAGGGCATTTTAAACTGGAGGTGGGGGGGCCTGGGTGGCCCAGCCTGTTGCCGTCCGGAATTCTCAGCCCAGGTCACCATCCTCCGTGAGTTTGAGCCCCGCCGGGCTCTGGGCTGATGGCTCAGAGCCTGGAGCCTGCTTCCGATTCTGTGTCTCCCCCTCTCTCTGCCCCTCCCCCGTTCATGCTCTGTCTCTCTCTGTCTCAAAAATAAATAAAAAAAAAAACGTTAAAAAAAAAAAAACTTGGAGAGCTAGAGGGGACCTAGAGATGTCTTATCCACCCTCCTTATTGTGCTAAAGAAACTGGCACTCAGAGAGAGAAAGTATTCACCCAAAGTCGCCGAGCAAATGAGCGGTAACGACAACACCAGAACTTAAGTCTCTGGGGCCTAGCAATTTGGGGAAGGCATCATGGCAGAGGGGACTCTTTGAGTTTTAGAGTCACGCAGACCTGCGTCTGAATTCCTGTCATCCCGCTTACTGGCTGTGGGACCTCAGACAAGCCCCTGGACCTCTCTATGCCTGCAGGAGGGAGAAATCGCACCCTCTCTTTATAAGGGAGGTCAAGAATGGAGGAAAGGTATGGAAGGACCGAGCAGAGCCCACAGTAAGTGCTCAATAAAAGTGGCCACTGTTATGATGATGCTCCTGGAAGCCACTGCCTCCTGCTTGGTCTTAGAGGACGAACCAGGCTCAGGAAAGAGACGCCAGGGTCCCCCCCCCCCCCCCCCCCCCCC